AAAAAAAAAAAAAAAAAAAGAAACTTGTGGGTGTATTAATCATACCACTAAAACAACGTAATATTATAAATTTACAATAATGAAAATGAAAATGAAACTGAAGAGAAAAAAAAATGCTTACTCGGGGCAGACAGTAGAGACTCCACCAATATTATCAAGCTCGTCTATCTCATCCTGCAAACCCCAATAAATACATATTTATTATTTACCCAGAAAAAAAAAAAGTTAGAAAAAAAAAAAGCATACAATTGTTAACAAAAGCAGAGGAAGCTGAAGAAAGAGAAATGAAAACCTGAAGGATTTGAATCTGTTGATTAAGAAAAGCAATCGCAGCGGTCATCCGATGCTTCCCCATAATGCCCTGAGTCACATTCGCCGGCGGAAGGGAAGGGGACGGGGAGTGAGTGTGCAGCTGATCGGCCGCAGGCGGCGGCGCAGACCCCATCAGCCGCCGCAGGGGGGGACTTGTGAGGGGGGAAGAGGGTGGACCAAGGAAATACGAGCAAAACGACAAGTGAGTGAGATAGAATTGGGGGAAACAAAGGATCAATTGGATTAAAGGAAGCCGATAAGAAATATCATTGCCGTAGTTAGATCTCTTGCACAAAAGGTCATTTATTAGAACTCTGGATGAGATTTTTCTATGGTTGAGCAATGAATAACAAACATATTATAATATTATAATAGAGAAATGTTCTGTTACGGAATCAATTCGTCGAGTTTATTACCGTTACATCAATTATTCTCGACGGTTACATGATGATTTAACGTTACAAACCCTGACGGAATGGTTACATAACGAAACCGTAGCATCTTCCGTTATAATATTGCTCCATCCACTTTATTATTTTTTTTTTGGTACAGGGACCTTCCGGTTTTCGGATCCACATGAGAACCGACCAATCCGGAATCGAGCCGGGTAGGACCACAAGGGCGGCAAAGCTCTACCTCAAGAGTTTTAACACTGCTGCATTCCAGGGCATCCACTTTATTATTAACTCTGGCATGTGGGTTCGTTGTTTTCTTTCTTTTTTTTTTTGTTTTAATATTCTGCTTTCACTCCTTGGCTTGACAGACCTGCATATAAGAGCATCTTTATCCATAAACCTTCTTAAACTTCTTTTTACACTTTCCAACATTCAACATCATTCAAAACTTCCTTTTATATTTTCCAACATGCCACATCATCCAAAACCTCATTCTTACTCCTACACCCATAAACCTTCAATAATAACAATATGTTTCCCACTTTTAATTAATAATACACTCTTATAATTTTATTAATATTTTAAAACTACAACTCTATCTTATTTTTTTATTTAATCTAATTATTTCATATATTTATCATAAATACATATAAAATAATAATATAAGTATATATAATTATATTAAATTATTTATAATTATACAGTGTTGAGTATGTACTAATATAAATTTTTATTTAAAAAAATTATGAAACATAGAAATTAAATAATGCTGAAATTAAATTGGAGTACAATTTTTTTTTATACCAAACAACCTCGTTTTACTTCTTTCTTTCACAAGTAAAGATTCTTAGTATATGTTTTTTTCAATTGTTAGGATAATATCATACTTCTATATTTATCATGTTCATTATAAGTTTGTTTATTAAAAATTAAAAATAAAAATTATATTTTAAAACTTAAAATATTATTATATTTAAATAATATGAAATTTTTAACTTTAATTATTAATTATTGTTAAATAAGTGGACAATTCAAGTGGGAAATAAATTATTAATATAAAATGGTCACAAAATAAATGAAAAATGAGGGGACAATTATATCAAGCTGGAGCCCACTCTCCACTCTCCATTTGCGCGTGTGTTGCACCATACTAGCAAATAAACCATAAAATGAGAAAGTTTAGGGCTTGATT